CGCGGCGAAGATGCTGAACATGCGCTTGCCCTCCTCCATTTTTTGCTCCTCCGTCATCACCTAGGCGGGTGCGTGTCAGCTGCTGCTTGATCATCGGCGGACAACGACGAGGGAAAGGGCCCATAGTTGAGTGGTACGAATCGCCCCCAAACACAGCTCGACTCCACAGAGCTTTGGGCGTCCACTACCTAACGACGGTAGTCGCGCGCATTTTTGGCCTATTATCTCGCGACCGCGTTTCTGTTTTGGTATCGAAGCGGCCGCCCAAACCTCCCGCGAGATAAAAGCGCAGCAGGACCGTGTCCGCGGCCAGTTTTCCCACCACCACTTCCAAGACTGAGTCAAGGTACGCGGAGGTCAGTCCGAGTACGCAGCGAACTCCAGCGCCCCAAATAACACAACGAGCGAAGAACAAGAACGAAGAAAGAAAACGTACCTCCTCCCCCCCATCGTCCTCATCGTCGTCGTCCTCCCCGCTCTCGCCGTCGTCGTCCCTACGGAAAAAGAAAGGGGGGGTCGTCAGCGTCAGTCTCCCTCAAAACGAAAAGAGGTAGGGAAAGGAAACGGCTCCCGTCCCTCAATCGGTATCGGGCGCTTTGCAAAACGTCTGCCGGCGACACCTCCGGCCGAAGTCTCGACAGCCTCCCTAAAGCTCCAAGCACCCGGGTGGGAAGGGGAGAAGGGGGGTTTGGGGACGATCTTGGTGCCAAAACACCGTCCCGTCCCCCAATCGGTATCGCCAGCAAGTCGGCATGCGCTCTGAAAGCATCTGCGGGCAAGGACCGCCGCGAAACCCTTCGGCCAAAGTCTCGAGGCCCGTCCACGAAACAAAACCCAAACGCAAAACACAAACGCAAAACCAAAAAGACACTCACCCACTCTCCCCCTCGCTCTCCTCCTCCTCGCCCTCGCTCTCCTCGTCGCCCTCCGCGTCCGACGACGCGTCCCCGCCGTCGTCGAGCGAGGCGGAGGAGGCGGAGTCGTCCTAAACGAGATGAGGGTCGGTGAGTATACGTGTGAGTGTGAGTGAGGGGGGGGGAGGGGAGAAGATGGGAAGGGGGGAGGAGGGGAGGGAGCAGTGCGCGTCGCGTTGGCGCCCGACGCGCGTTCACGAACGTAACACTGGCCACGACCACGAACCCGGCCAGTACTGCGTTCGCGTTTGCGAGAAATGCAACCGAACACAATCCACGCTCCCCGCACGTATCGCCATCTCGCTGCGGACGCAAGACTCGGCATGAAACACGACCGCACCGCACTTGACACGCGTCCGTGTAGGCGAATAACCCCAACCCCACGCAAAACCTGACCAACCCCCGCGTAAGAACAAATCGCAAAAAACTTACCTCATCCCCACTAACACCCCCCGCCGCCTCCTCCTCGCGCGCCAGACGGCGTTCAGCCTGCAAAAAAAAAAAGGCGCGCGTTAGCGATCGTTCGTTGTTGAGTATGAGTTAGGCGTTAGGCGCGATGCGGTATGACACGCGAACAGTCCGTCTGTCTGTCTGCCACGAGTTCCCCGTCGACGTCGACGCGCCGACGTCATTGGGCGTGCGCGAAAAATGTGAACGAAAACGCGTCGAGTGGGGATCGCGTCGGCCGCAAAGGACGCGAGGCCAGCACAAGCCGAAACTAAAGCCCAGAGAGGGGGTCGACACCCCGGCCCGTCCGTCGCTACGAAACAACGCCCCAACGACTCGAACGCGGGCTCGTCGCAACAACCCCATGGTCCATCGGCGCGCAAAACCGACTCTGACGCGCGCAAACCGCCATCGCCGCGCAAACCCAAACCTCTCTCTCTCTCTAAAGCAAGACGCAAACAGCTCACTCACCAACTGCTCCATCATCTCCAAAAACTTGCGTCCGTCGTTCTTGAGCAGGTCGTCTGCGACCGTGAGGATGCTTGTCGGGCCTTTGCGAGCGTCAGCGAGCAGTTAAGGTACACGACGAAAGCGGTTAAAAAGGAAGATATAGAGGGGGGAGAAGAGGGAGTCAAGCCCGAGCGAGCGAAAGGCGGGAACGTCGGGAGCGCGCCCGCCCCGTCGTGAGAAAGGCGCCACCCGACGCCGACTCCAGGCACACATCCCGAAAATAACGCGCGGTGGCAGAACCCGAAAATAACATCGACGGAACGACGTCAGGTGCGCCACGTGGATGTGCGTGGATGTGCGTGTCCAAATCCTAATCCCGTCGTGCCAAACCAAAAATGGTATGGCACGCATGTGTGGATATGAGGGCGAAAATGAGGGCGAGAGATGATCAAAAGGACGGAGGACGGGGGACGCAGGGAGGGAAACGGATTGGGAGAGGAAGGGAGGAAGGTGCGACGGGGTAGACAAAGATAAAGATAAAGATAAAGTAGATCAAGTGGGAAATGGGGAGGAAAGAAGATGCAGAACGATAAAATCGCCACGGCCGCCCAAAAAATGGACAATCGTGGAAATGAAAAAGTCGACCGCACGCAAATCACGAAACCAAATCGCCAAAAAAAAAAACGAAACCAAGTCGCAAGGAAACAGAAAGCTGAAAACGGAGAGGAAAACCACACTCACCCCCAACGCCCGCCCCCACCCCCGCCGCGATCTTCCCCTTCATATCCACCCCGCCCCGCCCCCCACCCCCACCCCCCGGCGCCCCGCGCCCCCTTCCCACAGGCGCCCCGCCCCGCCCGCCGCCGCCTCCGCGATACGCCCCGCGCACGGGCGGCGCGGCAGGCACAGGCGGCGCCGGCGGCGGCCTATCATCCTCCTCCTCCTCGTCCAGCTCGTCCTCGGGATCCTCCTCCTCCAGCTCGTCGTCCTCCAGCTCCGGGTTATTCTCGTCGTCCTCGTCGTTGGGATCGTCCTCGGCGTCCGACGGGTCTTCGTACACGTCGTCTTCGTCTGGCGCGTTCGGATTCGCATTCGGGTTTGCATTTGGATTTGCATTTGGATTATTGGGGTTGAGGGCACGCGAAGGCGGCTGCGCAGGCGGACGCGCGTTGGGGAGCCCGCGCTCCTTCCTCCTCCGCCGCGCGCGTCTGTTCTTCCCTCCGCCCTTGCCATTAACCACGCCCCCATTCACCCCCTGCTGCAGACTCGGGAGGTGCGGAAGGTGGTGCGTCGATGCGACGACGGCGCCGTAGCGGTCGACCTCGACGCTGCCGGGGAACGGGCCTGGGCCGGGCGGCGGGGGGAGGCGGCCCTTGCCGTCGGAAGCGAGCGAGGAGAGGTACTGCTGTTGGTAGAGGGCGTATTGCTCGAGGTCTTCGTAGTACGCGTCGTACAGGACTTGCAGCTCGTCTTCGATGGCGGTGCTGCGTGCCTCCGTTAATATCGAGGCAGAGCGATGAAACGACGCTCGACTAACCGCTTCCTGCCACAGACAGCACACGAACACGAATGCTTCTGCTCCTCCTTCATCTTCCGCAACACCGTGTCCTTCTCCACCCGCACCAAATCCCTTCTCTCGTCCTCCGCCAGCGCCAACCAAAAGTCCCGTATCCGCTCCCTTTCCTCGCTGCTACTCGTGCTCCATATCTTGGTATTGCTCGCGGCGCCCCCGGCTGCGCCAGGCTTCTTCGCGCCGGCGGGCTGGGGTGCGGCGTTCTCGGGGGGGTAAGCGGGGTTTGGGTTGTTGGTGACGGGAGCCTTTGCGGCGGCGCGGGCGCTGCGGGGGGCAGGGGGCGCCTGCGCTGGCTGCTGGTACGCCATCGGCTTCTTCCCGATGCTGACGCTGCTCGGCGGCGGCGGCGGTGGCGGGGCCATGGTCGTCTCGCCCTTGTTGCTGTTGATCCCTTTGTGCTTGCGCGGAGGAAACGCTGAAAAGTCTTTGTCAGCAGCGGAGTTTGATTTCGGATGCGTAAATGAGTGTAAATAGTGTAAATAATGGATGAAAATAATAGGCGGTACTCACCATCTGCAGCGCCGGGCACGAGCGCCTTGGCCGCCTCCCGCATCCGACTCGCAAACTCCGCGTCGTCACCCGCGTCCACAAAATTCCGCACCCGCTCTGGCAGCGCCCGCCAGTACGCCGCGTCCCCCTCCCCCCCGTCCCCCTTGCCCTTCCGCCCACCACCACCCTCCTCCCCACCCGCCCCGTCCTCCTCCTCATCGTCCTCCGACCCGCCCCCGAGGCTCCGATACAGCTCCTTCGCCGTCGCAAGCAGCTCATTGGTCGCCGCCAGCGCCGCCGCAGTCAACTCGGACGACGGGTCATCATCGTCCTCGTCGTCGTCCTCATCCTCATCCCCCTCCTCGTCAACCCCCGCCGACCCCGAAGCCCGCCCTTTTGGTGTCTCCCTCTCCTTCTGCTTCTGCTTCTCCTTTTGTCGCATCGTCGGCGTCGGCGTCGCGGGGGTAGGCGTCGTCCCTCCCCGCGTCGGCGTCGTCTGGTTCTTAATCCCCGCCAAAGCCAAACTCGGCGCGCCCGCCTTGCGCACCGCCTGCTTCCCGTTCTTGCCCATTCGTTTTGTTGCTGCCTGTACTTCCTGCTAACAATGAGCACGAATGAATCCAACGAATAAAGGTAGCCACGCACCTTTAGTTACTTTCCTTCGATGGTTCGTGGTGCAGTACCGCGCACCGCCTCCCTCAGTCCTTCTCCCAGCCTCAGTCCGCTTTCAATCCGCTTTCTCGTCCTCTTTCCTTGTGCCTTGTCCTGCCGTTCGCAGTTCACAATGGAGGAAAGTGTTTGCACGAGCGAGCGAGCGAGTCCCGTAGAATTGGGAGTAGGTAGAAGTAGACGCGCCCTTTTGCTTCTTGACGCGTTCGGCGTTCCCGTCGATCAACACCGCCAAACGCACGTAATCTGCCTCGGCTAGCCCGCATCGCATCGGTTTTGTTCCGTTGATTATCGCGACGCTATCGGGGTATCTGATTATCGTCGTCCCCATCCCCATCTCTTCGCTTCGACGCGCACTGCTAGTGAAGATGAGAAAGTTAGTGAAGACGAGAGGAAACGGTACTGTGTTGTCCCACAAGGGAACGAAAAAACAAAGAAAAAACTGGTGGACAAGACCATGACCTGACCCCGAATCGAACAGGGAGCTCCTGCCTAATCTACTAGTTATAGTGTAGTAGAAGCAGGGATGTTGCCAGTTACACCACCAGGTCTTGCTAGCAAAATGTTTGAGTGGGATAAGAGTAAGTGTGGGTGGAAGTTGAAGATGTTGAAGTAAATTCCCCAGCCTGAATTCAACACCCGCTACTCTACTCAATTCCGATGAGCTACGAACCTTCCTCCTCCAGGAAAAGAGAGCGCAAAAACAGAAAGAAAAAAAAAAACCAGACACCCCAATTTTATGACCTGACCCCGAATCGAACGGGGAGCTCCTGCCTAATCAACATGGTCAAATAAGTAATAGAAGCAGGGATGTTGCCAGTTACACCACCAGGTCTTCCTAACATCCTCCCTGTAGTAAATAAGAGTAGGTGGGAGTTGGTGCCAGTCAATAAAAAGTTGAAACCAACATACAAACTAGGAATTTACTGCAACACCCCACCACCCCAACCTTTACTGTAATTCAAGAGTCCTTAGTTGTCCCAGCACCATGACGAAAAAGGAGACTAATGCATACCACGACACAGGGCCTTGAGCGGAAGGAACAGTGCAGTGTGTTGAATGGAACTGGAGCAAAACAAAAACAGTGTAGATGCCCTACAACCTGACCCCGAATCGAACAGGAGCTCCCGCCTAATCTAACTATTACAGTGTAGTGAAAGCAGGAGTGTTACCAGTTACACCACCAGGTCTTTTTTGCAAGGTCCTTGTATACAGTAAATGGGAGTTACTTGAACAAACTACCCCGCTAGTTTAATTTAATTCAATCCTTAATCTTAGTTGTCTGTCCCAGCACGAAATCAGCAACTATAATATCGGAAGAAACATACCTTGGGCGGAAGGAACAGTGCAGTGCGTGCAGTGCGTTGAACGGAATAAAGTGGAGCAAAGTTTCAAGAAGGAAAAAACAAGTATATGCTGCACAACCTGACCCCGAATCGAACAGGGAGCTCCCGCCTAATCTAACTATTACAGCGTAGTGAAAGCAGAGGTGTTACCAGTTACACCACGAGGTCTTGCTGGGAGGATCCTTCTATGCAGCAGGTAAGAGTTGCTTGAACGAAAAGTTGAAACCAACATAAACTAGGAATTTAATTACTGTAACCACCCTGCCACCCAAGGCTTTGATTCAAGAGTCCTCAGTTTACAGAGACAGATATCTATGCATACCGTGAGCGGAAGAAACAGCGCAGTAGAGCAACAAAGAAAGAAAAAAAACATATCTGCCTGCAACTGCACGACCTGACCCCGAATCGAACGGGGAGCTCCTGCTTAACTTCGTACGTGATCGCCGTTTAGTCAAAGCAGCCGTGTTACCAGTTACACCACCAGATCTTGAGAGCATAATGTTTGCCTGGGACGAGACTAGGTGGGAGTGGGGATGGAGGTGGTTCACTTCAAAAGTACCCAACTTATATTCAACCCAGCCTTGACTAGTACTCCAGTGAACACACTCTACTTGATGCGGTTCCAGTGAGCTGCGAACCCGTCAAAGCAAAAGTGAGGAGAAAAAAAGCAAAGGAAAAAAAACAAGGCTCCGAAATGCCACAACCTGACCCCGAATCAAACAGAGAGCTCCCGCCTAACCAACTACAAGAGTATTTAGTCAAGGCAGGGTGTTACCGGTTGCACCACCAGATCTTGATAGCATAATATTTGCGTGGGAGGAGACTAGGTGGGAATGGGGATGGAGGTGGTTCACTTCAAAAGTACCCAACTTATATTCAACCCAGCCTCGACTAGTACTCCAGTGAACACACTCTACTTGATGTGGTTCCAGTGAGCTGCCAACCCGTCAAAGCAAAAGTGAGGAGAAAAAAAGCCAAAAAAAAAAAAAAAAAACAAGGCTCCGAAATGCCACAACCTGACCCCGAATCAAACAGAGAGCTCCCGGCTAACCAACTACAAGAGTATCTAGTCAAGGCAGGGTGTTACCAGTTACACCACCAGGTCTTCCTGGAATCCTCCCAGTAGTAAATAAGAGTAGGTATGTAGGAATTGGAGATGGTACTTGAAATAAATTCCACTCGCCGGAATTGTGAATCCACTCTACTCTACTCTCCTCCACTCAATTCCGGTAAGCTACCAACCCGTCCAAGTAAAAGTGAGAAGAAAAAAACTAAAGGAAAAACGGGAAAAAACAAAGTTCATCGACCAGGTATGACCTGACCCCGAATCGAACGGGGAGCTCCTGCCTAGCCTACTACTTACAGGACTAGTAGAAGCAGGGATGTTACCAGTTACACCACCATGTCTTTCTTGCACAGTGCTTGCATGGGATAGGTATGAAACTCTATGGGAGTCAAAGATGGTTCAGTAAAAAGGACTAGGTAGGTAGGTAGGTAGAGTACTGGCAACTAGTATTTAGTACAGTATAAAGTTCAGAGCTCAGGTTGAATTGACAATAAGTATTTAGAGATAAAACTCGTCGTACATGCCATGCGGATCAATGGCCCCACTGGCACAAGCCAAGTTCAAGCCTAGCTCACACTTTCTGTCTAAACATCAGCTCTGGGAATAAATTTCCTGAGTAATTCAAGTAGGAGAGTGTGGTCACCCAGTAGATATAACATTCGGCTTACGACAGGCAAACATAGCGCGATCAACTCATCAACCCAACTTCCCACGGTTCGATCCTGTCGAAATTGGTTTAACATTCGGTTCGATGGTTCAGCCGAAGGTGTGTGCCTCCGTCTCACGTGGGAGCCGCTAAACTATTTGGCACTGGCAGCCCCATTCCTCGGGCGAGGGGACTGCCAAATAAAATTATCCCAATGAAACAACTTTAAACGGCCCTGAATTGAAATACCCCAGCGATTTTTCCAAAGGTGGAGCGTTCGACGAGAGAAGCATATAAATAAATCTCAGAGAGAAAAGAGGTCGGAGCTTACAACTCAAGAGCTCCGAAAAAATAATAATTCAACGTCCAGGGAGAAGAGGTGGGCTTTCGTGTGGTTTTCGAGTCTTCCTCGGAATCCACGCCTCTATCTTACGTTGCAACAATTAAGAGTGGTAAAGGCCGTAGTTGAACGGTTCGGCGGAGATGTCGTCGCACCACCCACCCGTGGCGACGCAGTGGACAGCGCGCTTGGCCAACGAGGTGGAGTTGGTCCGAGCCAGAATATGCGCGTTTCGGTCGGCGACGACGTGAGCGGGAGTGGGGATCCAGTAGATGGTTGGTAGATGGTGTCCTTGAGCGGCGTGGCGGGTTGGACGGCCGTGTCCTGCGGCAAAGCAGCAACGGCGGAAAGAAGGACACAGGCAACAAAGGAGAGGGAAAACTGCATCTTTTTGCGGTGTGGATTCGAATTATTGGCGGCCTTTTTAATGCGCGTCGGAATCAAGGTTCCGGGTGTTCAAGTTTCAACCGTCGGCAAAAACGTAAATCCCACGCTATCTCTTGTGATTCGCGTACCTCGCGCTTGGTCCACGGAGGTCCACGGCTGTCCACGGGCGGGCGCCGAAACTAGGAACCATCGATTCCGAGCGATGCCCACTTCAAACTAGAGGTTGCGCAGGCCCAAATTGAAACAGCAGTAAGCGTAAGTGCTACACATATGCAGCGTCTAGGCTCGTCGACTCTGGTGCCAAGCCTTTACATGGAGCAAATGTGAAGGCAGAGGTTAGGCAGAGGTGTTATCCATTGAATACACCACCAGGGCTTTGTGGTAGGATCCTTGGTTGGGATAAGAGTAAGCTGGAGATGGGGCAAACAGAGTTTGAACAACGCCGAGAAGCCCGATGGTTCAATATTCAATCATCACATAATTCCCATTGACATGTCATATTTCTCGAGTTTTTGACCCTCCTGTGAACGGGGAATTATATCAACCCAAAAAAAATGTGATGCTAGGTATTCACTTCTGCTCGAGCACTCACGGATGCTGGTGGGGTAGGCGTCACCCGCACTCACCTCGGCTCTGACTTCTGTTACACCCTGGGATATCAAGCGGTTATCCGGTCTCCGCATATCGTCGACGAGAATCCGTCGAGAGTAAAGTGCTGGCCCTTCCAATAAGATTATAGAGTACATACCCGGTTCCTTCTTACCCTCATTGAAGTTTTTCTCGTTTCTTTGGAGACTCGTTGTCGGGCCTAATAAGCACTTCTCCTAAGTGGAATAAATTCCAGAGTAGGAGTGCCGTGAACATGGGAGGGCCTCGAGGCAGTTGAACGGCGCTTGATGCATCGTAATGGGGGAAAGATGTCGGCAGAGAACTCGATGAGGCGGAATACAATGCGCATCTGAGGGATTCTCCAGTCATTTTCTTTTGGAATGGAAGAAAGAATTCAGCTGCAACCTGCCGCGATGTGGACCAGGGACGCGCGGGCGCTTCCAAGCAGTCGACCCATCAACACGATTCATTTTGTAGTGGAAGGATATAACGAGTCCCGTGGACCTGAGGACGACGAACTGTTGCAAACCGATACTTCCCATATAAATGTGGATCCCGAGAAGCACAATCTTGGGGTCGTTGCCGTCTATGGGAGATCCACCTCCTGTCTGCGCCAAGAAGGCACTGTGGAGGACATCTGAGCAGCTATGAGAGGGAAGGAGAACAGACCCCACGTTATGTCCAGAAGCACAAAGCATAACGAGAGCCGCCAGGCACCAATGCCTATAACCCGAGAGTGATTAACCCGAAGAGGGTTGAAAACAACACGGCAGAAGGGTAGGAATAGTACAAGAGGTTGTAGTTGGGGTTTGTGCGAGGGTCTGTTGAGCAAAAGATTGCTAAAGCGAAGCGGAAAAGAATGATACAATAATGAACGTATTCCTCAAACCCCGTGTACTGCCTCGGGCCTGTGGTGGCCGCACCCAAGGTGGATCAAACTGCGCAAGTTTAGTTTCTGGCGGTGCCGTGTTGTATACACTACGAAAGTGGAAAGGAGCGCTGTATACGCACAACAATAGCAAGGCAAATTACTCAACTCTTTGACCCGGATTGGGCCTGGATCTCTTCCAAATATATTCATCGGACAGGTTTGTTCATCAAGGTTGAACTACGATCTGCTGCGGTGTCCGATATTTTATGTGGTCACGGCCATTGTCCGCGAACATACGGAGTGTTTACAATATTGAACGCCGATGAGCGCCCACAAACTTTGCCGCCGGCGATCTTGTCTATTAGTATATGTACGCTTTCAACCTTAACTACTTGGGAAATTAGTTACTCCCTGCAGTGTTTGCCCGTTGAACTTTTTACTTGCCCCGTGGAGGACTGGCTCGGTGGGTGCTGTCTGTTGCAATTTACTTGCCCCGTTCAAGTTGAGTTATATCGTACTGAAAATTTGCAAAAAAAAAACCGACTTCACATGTAATATTCATCACGTGATTCTAGTTGAAACCGAATTGAACAGCGAAGAGTGCATTGGAGAAGAGGGGAACGAGAGACCCTTCGTTGCGACAGGGTCAAGACTGCATATTTGCCTCTCGCGATTGACGGACAGAAAAAACTCCCGATGAAATCAACTGCGGTTACGGCCGTCCGACTGCGGTTTCTCTGCCACTATCGCAGACTGGTTCATAGATTCTATATTTGTTCCAAGGTTCAGTATTATTTCCTGCGTGATCGCGAAGAGCAAATTTTTCGCTCACTGAGCCGTCTCCAAGAGCTCCAAAGTTAAAAACGATCAGGTACCAACCTCCCGAATCTCACATCTCCGGCGAAATGTCATGTACGATTAAAAATCTTCAGGCCGGTGGACGTACACCAGCAGTGCCACATCCAGCTCCATCAAGAAGTCGTGTTCTCAGGGAACTGCGTAAACTAGACATGAGTTTCAGGCGGTACATAAAAAAGCAGAACAACCTCTCACCCAAACAGTTCTTCCTCCTTTACCTTCCCGTTGCCCTCGTGTACAAAAAATGGTTCACGTTGTATGCCTAGGTCAGAATGCGCTTGTCGTTCCGCCCAATGCAAAGGGTTGACCAGACTTCCAACAGATCCTCATGACCCCAGCTACAACTTCCTGTACTGCCCCTCCTTCCCCGCCGCCGTGCTGTTTTCAGCCCTCTTCGGGCTAACCACTCTCGGGCACTTCATCCAAGCCATCATGTATCGCAAGAGATTCTGCTGGGTTATCATCATGGCAGGGCTCTGGGAAACGAGCGGCCTCGTTCTCCGCGTGTTTGCCGTCCTGCACACCACCTCTAGCGCATTCGGGACTCCCTCGCAGCTACTCATTCTCCTCGCCCCGCTGTGGATCAACGCATTCCTCTACGTCCTCATGGCCCGCCTCGTATATTTCTTCGTTCCCGATCAACGAGTAGGGGGCATCAGTGCGCGACGACTCTCACTGTTATTTGTGTTGCTTGATATAACGTTCGTCGTCAATACCACGAAGGGACTCTCAATGTACTGTACTCACGTTACTTTCCCAGCGCCTTTCTGATGCAAGCAGGCGGCGGCTCCCTCATCAGCAGCGACACACCAAGGGTCGCGCTCATCGGCATCCGCGTATACATGGGCGGCATTGGTTTGCAACAGCTCTTCGTCCTCGGATTTGTCGGGATCGTCGTCCGCTTCCACTACAAGATGCGGGGCCTCGAGGGCTCGACGCAATGGAGGCGTCCGCTCCACGTCATGTACGCGTCCCTCGGCCTCATCACGGTCCGTTGCCTCCTCCCTCCTCATCTTTACGCTCCCTGACGCCCACACCAGACCCGAATCATCTTCCGCCTCGTCGAGTTCTCGCAGGGCGTGTACACTCCAATCACAGAGCACGAAGCGCCATTTTACTGCCTCGAAGCACTCCCCATGTTTGCCGCGCTCCTGCTGTGGAATATCTTCCACCCAGGGCCGATCCTCGTCGGGCCCAACAGTGAGTTCCCGAAGAAAGAGAAGAAGAAGTCAAAGAAGGAAAGGAAGGCAGAACAGGACGCATATCAGCTGCCGCCGCCGCCGGTCGCCGCCACATATCCACCGGATGGAAAAGTCTGACGAGCGGAATCCTACTACACAGATACCCGTCATTGGAGTGTTTATTGGACAATTGTTGATATGGGTCTGCGAAGGACGATATTTTGCCTTTTGTTAATGGAGGAATTGTAGAAGAAACCTATAGCACCTAAGACGTTTTGAAGACGTTGAACTTTTTCTTTTCTTTGTTGGTTCGCGAAATGAGGCCATTCAGAGGTAAAGTCGCCGCCCGCGGGATATTTCTTGGGAATACCAGCAGCTTAGGCCCCGTCCACCCTGCAGCACGACGGTTTTAAAGTAATGTTTGACATGTACAACGGATATGGTCGTCG